GAGTTCACATACCTGTCATTTGCTTATTTCTTGCGCTTAGTAGATGGTGGTAAAGATGTTGTCTATACAATTAGACCCCCTTGTGTTAACATTGAATTCATGATGCATACCATATGAGTTGAATATATTGATAACTTGAGCTGCCTGCAAATCCTTGCTACCAAATCTGACATTAAAGTCACCAGTCACAATAACATCCTTCTCATAGTCAAGCCTATCCAATGTGTCGGATAACCTATCAATAAAGCTGCTGAAATCGCTTTGCGCAGATCTATAAATTGTAAAAATTTTAGCATTATCAAGGCATATGCCCTGCTGAAACTAGAAATATCTTGATAACCATCCATTTTGACGTAGTCAATCTGATCACCTAAAAACCAGTGTTCATTTAAGCACAGTACGTCATATTGGGACTCTGAGCATAACAGTTCCACTACGTCAACTTTATGACGTAGGCTTTGTACATTAAGATGAAGAAATTTAACCCTAACTTCACCAGCGCTAGATCATGTTACTCTAGAAGGTGAAGTGTTACAATCCAGAACGTTATTGATCTTAGAACTATCCAGAGATAATTTGCTTAGAGCCACTAGCCTGATTGTCGTACGTGCAGCATATGGAAGTGTTTCTGATATTTTTTTATATGCGTTAAGTTTTGAGTCTACGATGTTTTTGTCAGAGTAAACACTTAACTCATATAGAAATATTAAATTAGTGGTATGCTCAAGAGGTAGCAGGTTACTTAATCCTCTTTTCAAGGTATTTATATTGTTGATATTCAGAGTGCATGTCATCAAAATCACATAATCATTACTTCCATATGATACACTGTTAGATAAGACATCTTTGGTTGCCGTTTGGTACTCACAATTCGGTCTTACAAAAGATGCTATTGAAAATTTAGCCTTATGCACATACAACTCTATTACCTTCCTAAAGTTTCTTTGTACTATTAGGTGCCTAGCATTATCGTGGTTGGAAGCATATGGATCAGCTACCGACAAAAAATTGAGATATTCTCTCCCCCACCCCGTTCAACCCCCGACTTTTAACACCTAAAATTTTTTTCCGAAAACGATCAGAAGCCTCTGAAACGTTTGAGCGATTTTTTTTTGTTTCTTGCCCATAGCTCTGCAGCCACTAAGCCGATTCTATAAAGCCTTTTCGTCCTTTCCAAGTCATTGATGGGCCAAGAATTTGCGGACGGACCGACGGGCTTGAGTGACATAGTCTTTCGTGATGTACCTGTCATATAACATCAAAGTACAGGATTGTCTAGGATTTCAGACAGGTGTTCGGATTTTGATATAATAACTAGATCCGATATTTCTTGTCTAATGGTACTGATACGTAACGTTTATGCTGATGTGTCCATGTGTCTAGCAGTCAGGAAATCCCGATGAGGGAGCAATCGCTCTAGCTTATTGAGAGCCCTGATCAACACGCCATATGTGTGTCGCCAATGATGGACGCATCGTTTTGCTTGTCAGGTAACAGTGGCAGTGTGATAAGCTCATTTGCGTTGTTTCATAATAGAATCAGAAGAGATTGCGATAATTTATTATCTACGACGAGAAAAAATGAAGAAAAACAAAAAGAAGAAACTTTTGGGTACAATCGTTTATTTCTGATAAATACTGAAATTGATTTTTTTGAAAAGAGAAAAACGTAGGTACCAAATGTCGTGATGATGCCAATGAGATACTTCACACAAATTATAGAATAGAAATTGCCTAGCAACGTGGATTCTCCAGCATGTAAGGGGTATTTCGTAAGAATCAATATTAAGTCATTCAAAAATAGCGTCAAATAAATTGACTCCTTACTTCCCAGCAAACGCTGTGATTATCATCATTCGTAAGGGATTTTGTTCGGCACCAGTTAGCCCTTTTGAGAAAGAATTAGCTACGAACATGTATAGCAAAAAACTAAATAGCTCCCCCTTCCCCTTTCTCCACCAACAATGGGCCAGTTTCTAAAAACTACAAAGCTTTTTCGTCCTTGGTGTAGTAGTAACCTTGTGTGAAAAATTCATTCGAATCCGAGCGATACTTTCCAAGCTATACGCAGGTCACGGATTAACTATCGGACAAACTGACCGACAGACAGACTGATGGGAATGGATGACATGGTTTTTCGTGAGGTACATATCATATAATATCCAAAAAACAGAATATCTCATTTTCCAAGTTGTTCGCAAATACAATACTTCTTGGGCAATAGGCGTGAGAAATAACATCAGTATCATGTCAACTTGTGTACTAAGTAGTCGGTAGCTCATCATGCGAACGCCACCTATGGAGGCATGACTCAACGATTAATGTTGCGCAGGATCCTGCAACTCACATTTCGCCAACATACTTTGAGGGTTGCAAGTTGCCACAATAATCTATAGAGTATACCCTGTGACCAAGATGAGACAAAGAAAATACAGTCGAATATTAAGATCGCATCTGGATGCTTGTGTGTATTGGTCTGCATATTTATAGCATCAGTAGTAATTGAACTCTGATACCTATGTCATGTGAGATCAATTATAATTGAACATGTTGCCCATAAGATACATCTATTACGTGGAAATGGATCGATTGATGTTATTTAATCGAAAACCACGCTGGAGGTTGAGAGTGTCGGGGAACAAATAAGGTGAGCATTGTTGATCTTGCGACCAAAAGGCTTGAAAAGATAAGCATTATCCAGAATCATCACCAAAACATTATTAGAACACTGATCAACACTGTGCACTGAAATGTTTCCTTACAGCTATAAATGGCCTCCGTCAGTACCATCTCTGTAGCATCACAACAAATCCAAACTATATAGCTCAAGTGTCATGACGTATAGTCACCACGCACAGTTACTACAAGCGAACGTGAAGTGAATGACAGCTAGTATCAATGTTCAATTTTTTTGGAAAATTTAATTAAAAATCGATACAATGTCACACAAGTTACATAATACGAGTGCAGGTCACCAGGCCTCCCATAGGTTGGAGTTGAGATGGTGTGGCTACGCTTCCAAACTAGCAACGCTACTTCAGTAGAATAGTCTGGCAACATCGCCATGAAGTCCCGGTGAGGGAGAGCTCTTAGCGTTACCCAGAACATATAGTATTTTATTACGGAGGCGAGGTGCTCTATATCACTGTGTTTACTTGTTTTTTTAACACTACGTGTCTAGCTATATGTGTGTGCCATAAGCTAAATGAGTATATTTATTGAAGGAAACTACTGGCTGCCACTAGCTACAAGTTTCACTAAACGCCACTGCTATTATCGTGTATTCACGCCTTTAGCAAATGAAGTTCATGAGCTTTGACATAAACACATTGTCGATCAGCAGGACAGAAAATCGAGAACTCGAAACAGTCAATCATAAATCTGCTTTTAGCAGTTTTTTGAATTGTTACACAATAAAGTAAATATTTGACCTGACTATAGAAAATGTAAACAAATGTAGCCGTGAGACTGGTCATTAAAGGTATAATGTTGACGGACCATCATTGGCTTATCAATTGTTCGGGTCAACTGGGCCGTAGGTAAAGAAGGGTATAGTTAATCCGCTTAGGGTACCTACCTAGGTACTCGAAAAGTAAAGGCAAGCTCTATATAAGGCACACTCATAGTGGAACATGCCAGGTACAAAATAAGATTTAGATAAATTGTTGAGAGGATGAGACAGATAATTTTCAACTTCTTACTAGGATACCCTTATGATTAAAATTGTTCTTTTAGAGTTTAGTATGACTATATGACTTTTCTGCTTCAAAAGGTTACTGGTTGAGTCAGAATGAAGTTTGGCGCTTTTTAAGAATACAGTAAAATGCTTCTGAGGCTGAAAATACGATTTTTGTCTCAGCAGGTTGCACCTGCATTCGACCTTTTAAAATCTCTAACCCTCTTGCAAGGGGATTATGACCAGTAGCGGGTGTCAAGTTTCCTATAGAGAAGATTTTAACCAGGTGATTTTGCGTGATCTAAGATTTAAGTCAATTGTTGTTTTCCCTAAACTGTTTTTCAACAAAAGTTACAGAACTTTGGTTCGCCCAATCAAACCACATATGTGTTTTAATTACGGTTTATTGTACCACCAGGCAGAAATGCAAAATGCCGGTTAACTGTCATGCAATCTTCGAATATACGAATGCTGCATCTGCATTGTTCACGGATCTGAATTACAACACAATTAGACCTTCGATATCTAAAGGAAAGCGTGTTTGCCTTGTGAGGAAATAATGTAGGGCAACAGTTTGGCCTTGCGATGGCGAAGTAAACATCTGCTCATTTGAGATCCAATAACAAAGTATAAGAAAGAACCTGGACGTGAAAAAACGTACAGTCTATGAATTAGTTTGGAGAATATTAGCTAGATCTTTCCTTCAAGGATACTCAACAAAATTCGGTCACAGTCCACAGATGATTTATAAAGACAGCTGTTGTTTATTTTTTTAACCGCTAATTGCTTTACCTGTCTTTTGAAATTGCGGGCCACGGGTCCGGTGCATTAAAAAACGACAGACAACTTCATTCCCACTTGTCGCTTTGGGGGCTGGATGTAGTTTGGCTATCTATGTATATAGGAATGGAGAAAAGAAACAATTAATAAACTGTCACATGGAAGACAGATAAAATAAATATTCTGTCATTAGTTGTCATTATACGGTGTCCGAAACGTCGTACAATAAACAGAAATTAAAGCATATGTATATGTGGTTTGATTCAGCCAGACTATGGAGTCCCATAAACATGAAAGTCAAAGGTTAAGTTTCAGGAGTTACATTTAAAAGCTACAGAGTAATGTAGATATATAATATTTATTGTGATGTTTTTAAATAACCCGTTTAACTCAATAGTGGTGAAACACAACACAGAACTCCACTATTCAATGATGAATAAAAAAATTGCAAATAATATGAAATCTGAATTAGTATGGAATCCTGGGTAGTCGAATAATATTTGTATTGGTCTGGCTCTTGTAAAGGTAGCTACCATTTACCGGCGCCACTGTCCATTAACATAAATAGATGTAAGGTGCCGGTGATGAGAACCCATCGACGATAAATGAGAACCTTTAACCCCAATTTAACCATTAGCCGTTAGTTTGTCGGACATCGGTAGCGTGGACAGTACGCAGTGAAACCATCCTACCGTAAAAGTGGCTCTAGGCATGGTAGATATAGACAAATTAGGAGAAAAATTTTGTGTTTGTGGTTAGTGAATCATGCTAGTGAAGTCGTGGGAACCAAGGACTATACTTTGTATTCTGTTATTGGTTAGTATCTCGGTGAGTTTGTTGTTAGATAGCCAGGGTCGTACCGTTTGGGAGGAGGCACTGTAACTCTTAACAGAGGCGTAATCAAAAATATTGTTGGTAATACTCTACCTTAACTACACCAGCCGTTTTTGATGAGGACATGATTTCAGCTCCTAATTTTTTGTGTAGATGAAAGAAATGGGACCAAAAATGACCGCAAACATGGAAGTTCTGAAATATTTGACTCTATGATAGGTTTTTATTGAATATTTGTTTTCAAAGGTTTTCGTGTTGATGGATATTCTTAATAATTAAATTTGTATGTATCCCTTTGAACTCCACACAACACTACATAAAGGCTAATGCACTAGCGGTGCGCTCACGTGCGCCGCGACTCAAGGGAGAACAAATTCTAGATTAAAAGAAGATCTGCTACGCGTGGAAATGCGTGTTTTCGTTAATTTCTTTATATTTCTTCAATGTGGCAACATCGCGGAATGTATTGGATCCGATTCTGGAACTAACCCATTTGGGGGCATTTTTAATCACATTTCCATCATTTGCAACCCAAACCTAGAGCCTATTCGGAAGGAGAATAAAAAAAGTGCTGGTATAGCTAAGCTAGAAAATTACTATATTGTTGATAGGCCAACCAATGTATGAGGGTTGATCCAGAAATAGGGTTACCAGAGTGCCCTCGTATAATTAGAACACTGGTTTTTTGACAAAAAAAATAGATCCAAGTAGTAAGGCTTCTGGAAGTCTGAGACACCTGAAAATGTTTTTTGACCTTGCACTAAGGAGCTAAAGATCCCTACCATGTAAATATGTTTCATGTATGGCTCAAATATTTGTTTTGTCAGTCCATACCTTCTAACAAGGTCAAACTAAAAAGTTTTTCTGTTCCAAGCTTCATTTTTGTATGTCTTGAAACTTTCTGATGATATTTGAGCATAGAGTAGTATTGATCTGATGGTAAATAGACATATGCGAATAAAGTGGAAACTACCAAATTCATCTACTTTACCCTAGTTTTTGTCAATCTTATATAAGGTATGTGTTATGTCCGGATGTACTTTTTCTACAAATATTGCCAGTGTTCTTCGATTCACCCTTCGCTCTGTATACACAACTGGGAGCAAAATACGCTACTTAAAATGCCGGACGACGTGCGCTCTGAAAGTGGCCAATGTAATCAAAAAAAGGAAAAGCGCTTCAGTTTATTAATCCTCGTCGAAATAATCATCCCAAAAAGCTATTCGGCTAAATAAAATGGAAATTCATTGTCCACTATTGTGCTGGTTTAAATCGAGTCGGATGGGAGTTGAAACATGTGTAAACTTCAACTATTATTTGTGGTGATATAACAAATATTTGCACGTTCCTTCACATCCGCATTCGCGAATGTTTTGCGAATATGAATGTCAGAAAAATATATGAAAATAATATTACGTTCTTGAATGTTGTAATAAATAAACAAAATATGTATTGCTTAAATTTTTCTCGTGGTGTTATACACAGACAATCAGATATTTTTCGTTAGAAAACATAGGTTTCCTTCGTTGTGTTATTGAAGTGATACACTTCAAACAACGATCAGACTGTCAAAACAGAGAATATTTGTCTCACTTTAGAGTCCAAAAAGAACAGCTGAACTAAACATAACCTTATAGATGAAATTTTTTTAATGTATCATGGAGGTTCACTCAAGACTTGGTATTTTTGCAGTTTGCTGATATGGATCGCAGCAAATATATAATTGTGAGCCAGATTAAGAATCCAACAATTTGAATTCGGTGGATTTTGCCCGTAAACCAAGTAATCTTGACCTAAAATACTGCAAGTGAGGAGCTCTCTCAGCTGAGATGAGTTCTGAGTTTTGGTAAAAAGGACGTGTAATAAACCAAACAAACTGATATGAACGTATGTGTAAGACGAATGCAGTTGTAATTATGGAATAAAAGTTTCAAACAAACAGAAACATTGTTTTTTACTTAAATCAGTTACATGTTCTATACAAACTACATACTTATTTGCTTTTTGTTCTTTTTTTAACAGCAATTCGTCAATCCAGCTTAACTGGAGGAATATCAAACATCAAAAGTAAACGCTTCATTTAAACTCTGTATGTTTTGATGTGATGTAGATATAGAGAATAACAAATACTCAAAACTGGTAGTCAAATTAATAGCCTATATAGATGAGAGCCTCTACCCATTTTGCAAGCGATGATTACAGACCTACACCGCTATTTTTGGAAACGAGAGAGTAAAATCACTGGGCGTGGCTTTCTTGCTTTCCGAGAAGCTGCGTTTCTGAACACTGACAGAATAGTCGTTCCTACACCCGTCTCAAGTAACATAAAAGGTAACGATTTTTAATGAGATTATGTAGGTTTTTGCGAAAAAAGGCCACCTTGGAAATATCTTCCATTCAATCCTTGTAGCTGGTGCTATATGGTTTGGTTCTGATATGATATAGCGTCTGCGTCAGAGGTGGCACTGGTGGAGATCATTTATAGCTTCCATGGCCTAAGCAGTAAGTCTTATGCTATAGCTGGAACGAAAGACTACAGTGCATAGTGATCGCTACTGATTACATTTGATTCAGGATATACTTCGATATACTTTTCTAAGCCTTTTGGTCACAAACCGTACATTTCTGACCTTGTTTGTATGTTCCCTGATGCTCTCAACTTCCAGAGTAGTTTTCAATTAACTAACACCAATCGTTTAGTATAGTTATCAATCATCAAATTCCTCCATAGATGACGCCCACAGCTAGTAGGCTAACAGTGATTACTAACACAAGTTGACACCATTTTTCGCAAACAAATGAATGTCGAAACGTCGGCTTTACAAGTTGAGTGCATAATTGAACAGCTTGTGAATTATATCCCAAAATCCGAAAATTAATATAAAACATAATACAACAGCTATTTTACTCCCTCATTTCAAGAATTCGGTCCCTCTCCAGTCCCAAAACCAAATTCCTTATAAAATGGAATAATTACGTTATGGAGCAAGGTGTACTAATGAATGGATTAGTCAAATCTGCCTATATACAGGGGTGTCATGCATAACCACAGTAACCGATTACTCTGGAAGATCGCATTAAAAAATTGCTTAAATTTGACGTTATTGTGTGACTGGTAGGTTCAATTCAGGTAAGATGATCGTGGCACATCCGGTTATACGGGTTATATGGGAGTAGATTTTATATAATGCTTTTAAGATGTTTCAAGCAATAAAATCATAAGTGCAAGCCGACACTATTATTTTTTTTTTCATCTTGTCCTTGTTATACAATTGCCTTATAGAGGGCACCACTGCATCAAACCTTATTAGATAGGCAGAAAATAGGTTGAAATCCAAGTAATCATCTTATCCAGCATTAAAGGTATAGTTTTCTAAAATGTTGTATACTTAAAAAATTAGTAGTTTCAAAGATATATTTGGTATGAATTATTATGATATTTCCTGGGCAAATGTCATGTGACTATTGCACTGAATAGTATTGATTGGAAGTCCTAAACGAAGTTATTGTTATTCTGTTTCAGATTCCTTTTGTGATTTCCAGACCTCAGACTTTAGGACCGAAAGACCTCGAGACTAGTCGTCTGGTGAAGAGGGATTCTGGTCGCTTAATAAGCAGAAATGGAGAAAGAATTGTCAATACTGATATTCGTAGAGGTGAGGTACGAGATTATTTAACATTCTTAGAAATAAGGAAATTATCGCTTTTCTCATAACTACTTCTATGTCCTATTCATTCTTATTTACTCAGGTATTAACGGCTAGTTGACCAATAGGAGCGCGTAAACTTGAACGTCGCGCGCTGGGGTTTGCTTCGACGGGAAGTAAATGAGATTTGAATACTTTTATAGTCCCTGCCGCAGTTGTTATTTTTTTATCCGTTAGAATTTTTTAAAGATAAACTGAAATAGACATATCATTCTAATGAATCTGCATGTTGTTAGGCTCAAAATTGCTTCAAAAATTGTTTGAACAGACTTTTAAACAAATTTCAAAAATTGTTTTTTCGCTACTGACAAAGTGTTTAAGTCATTCTGAGCAAAAGAAGCGTTCAAGGGCGTTCGCTTAAAGTTGACAATTCACGAGATTATAAGCGACATAATATTCCAAAAAGTGTAAAATGTGTCACTTTCGAATCCGAAAAATTGATATGAAAAAACGAAAATTTTAGTGTTGCCTGAATTCATAAATATTCTCCAACGTTAGAGGTATTGTTATTGTAAAACCTTGTTTGCTGCTTGTTTGTTGAGCGTATGCTCAATGTATATGTTATTTCCTTAGGGTGGATTTCACCAGGATTGTCAAATCAAGAAGCCGTTATATTCCGTGTCAAATATAGTGAATGACTTTTAAGATCCATTCATCAAATTTTAGCAACCAGTAGCTGTGAAATATTGAAAACAAAATATTGTCAAAGTATGAGATGACTTGTCATTGAAACGTCACCAGCTTATTGAGTATTAAGAAGTTACATATGATTACGTCAAAATTTAAAAATGTGTTTGATTTTTGAATAAAATCCATGTTTTTTTATTATTTTTGATTGTTTATTCATGTTTATATGATTTTCTTCAATTGATATGTGATTTTACTGATTTAACATCACCTACCGTGTGTTTTTCCCTATAAACCTCTTGCAGATTGCCATTATACACTTACTTGATGACGGAGACTCTACCAAAGATTTCATAGATATTGCTCGTTTTCAAATATTTATTCATTTACTTGCCGTTAATCAGTACCATTATGGCACCTTAGATTGATATTTACACAAAACCATTCAGGATTTTTTATATCCATACATCCAATATTACTCGTTGTCTAGGAAGTGAATATACATCTACACCATATTTACAGCGATTGAGAAATTCCCAAATATATGTCATAAAACTACCGTCATACCTAAAACCTGCAAACAAACTAGAATTTGCAATAATTTTCTTTTTTCACGAAGGTGACCAACCACCACCATTCTAGGTTATATTAGATATTATTTGAATAACAGCTGATTATCTCCTGATCTTTCAAAACTCCCCATGTCGACAAGTCACACGTAATTCTGTGGGATCCGCCAACGCTTGGTCCCAGTAGAGAGTCGTTGCACAACAGTTGAAAAAATGCAATTGAAAATTTAAAGATTATTAAATCTTATGAAAAATAGAAGCTTCAAATGAAATATTGACGAATATGGATATCCATTCATAGATCTTAGGATATAAGTTCATATTGTCAGTGCATGGACTTGAACCGGATTTTTTGGTATTTTGACCGAAATTAGAATATTTACCGAAAATATCATTTTCCACGATTTTTCAAAATATATTAAGTGACATATAAATCCGAACACCCAGTTTAAATGGTTTTATTTTAATAAAAGTTGGTGAATGTTTTTATCTTACTTTAAATAACAAGTGAAAAAATTTTCAGCCTTATCAGTTGGACATTCCGGTTTTTATACTGCTTTTTTTTAATTCACTAACGCTCTAAAAATGAATATATCAGCCGCAGTAAAGAATCAACGTTGGCGGATTTTGGTTCTTGACATCCTTTACGACCGGTTATGATGCCTAGAGTACGGAGACCTGTGCGATTTCGTCAACTTAGTGAGTTTGATAGGGGCCGTATAGTGGGACTTCGGGAAGCTGGACTTTCTTTTCGGGCAATTGCAGTTAGAGTGCAAAGAAGTGTAGACACTGTGGTTAGGTGTTGTCAGGCATGGCTTCGAGAAGGCCGTACGCAAAGAGCAAGGGGCAGTGGACGCCGCCGTAGAACAACAGACCGTGAATATCGCCGCCTAAGATTATTGGCCTTAAGGGACCGTTTCTCCACTACCAGGTCCATTGCAAATGAATGGTTTGCGAAACACGAAAGACCTATTGACATGCGAAGTGTTTACCGACGAATGAGAAGTTTTGGCTTGTTTTCATACCTGCCACACTGGGTCCTCCCTTTAACTCGAGACCACCGACGTAATCGCCTTGAGTGGTGCAGACAACGGTCACTCTGGGATCAGGAATGGAACAGTATTGTCTTTAGTGACGAGTCTCGATTTTGTTTAGGCATGCACGATGGTCGTGCCAGGGTTAGAAGGCGACGTGGTGAAAGGAGGAATCCACAGTTTTTTGTTTAAAGACATGTTCATCACACTGTTGGAGTTATGGTTTGGGAAGCTATAGCTTATGGTTCCAGGTCACCTTTAACCTTCATCTGAGGTAACATGAACGCGCAGCGTTATATCCACGAAGTTCTAGAACCCCATCTTTTACCCTATCTTGACACCCTGGCAGATCCAACTTTCCAACAAGATAATGCCCGACCACATGTTGCAAGAGTCACAATAGACTTCTTTCAACATAATGATGTCACATTGTTACCATGGCCACCAAGATCTCCCGACTTATCCCCAATTGAGCACGTGTGGGATATGATGGGTTGGAGATTGCTCAATTTGCAACGTCCTCCTCAGACTCTAGAAGCACTTCGAGAGGAGTTGGTGGTTGCCTGGAATGGGATACCACAGGAGGACATTGACCACCTAATCAGAAGCATGCCTAGGCACGTTGGAGAATGCGTAACACATCAGGGTGCATCCACACATTATTAAAGGTCAAAGGGCTTTAAAGCAGTGCAATCATTTTGAAATTTGTATCATTTACTTATTATGCTTCATTAAGTACTTATACAAAATTTTATTAAAATAAAACCATTTAAACTGGGTGTTCGGATTTATATGTCACTTAGTGTAATTCAAATATTTCCGTACTTGCCGAAAAAGAGCTGGAACCAAAAATAAAGCTAAACGTTAATTTTATGATGTCTTCGTAGTATTATGCCCCATATCAATCATAGGTACATATGCACACACACTCAGGCAGTCGGACACACGAGAGGCGTAGATTTGAGTTTCTTATGGTTACGGACGCACATCTTCATCCCTTACTCCGCTTGCCCTGAATTAGCTTTTGTGCGTACAAAAGGTACAGACTGGTAGATTACTGTCATTATCGCATCACCTGACACGCAATAAAGAAACCGAAACCTGTTTATTTTCAAAATAAATATTTAATTAAAATATGATGTGAGTTCATGACTTAAGGGGTAAGACAATAATATTCACAATCTTATAAGCAAGAATCGAAAAAGGAATTTCTAGAATGGTTGCAAAGGACTTTGAAAGCGCGACCAGTATGCACAATGTAAAATTGAAATACAGAACTACGCCCTCAGAAAACATGTTGTGTGCGCACTCAATACAATAATAAACTTTTTTCATAGACGGCGCTGCGTAACTCAAAGGTCCTTGACCCACCACTGATCTTGGGACGGCATTTTTCCCTATACCGAATTCAACGAAACTATTTTTCGATTCCGTTTTTTTTTCGGTTCGGCAACACTCTTCCCATCTTTTATGAAATGATAGAAATTGACAATTCTATAAAAGTTAACCCAATTTTAAAGCTCAAAGACATGGTATTACATCTAGAATGTACCTTTATTTATAAAACAACCGATTTTTCACGATTTTATTCAATCTTTCATTAGAAATAACTGCTATTAGGAGAGCTTTGTCCGCTTCCGTCAAATTGCATTTCAATAAGCTGTTCCCTAATTGGTCGAAGACCCCGTTAGATTTTAATGTTAGTGAAATCGACCCTAAATCTCTTGTGAGCACGCAGAATATATACTGAGCGCGCGCTTGATTAACAGTTAAAAAACAAGATTTACAACAACAATACCCCCTAAAATGCATTAGGATTGTGTTATTAATGGATGTTTGAAAAATATTTAGAAACCCTATTTCCTGCTGAAACAACGTAAGTCCATAACAGTTCTTCAATTTCAACTTTAAGTACTCAAGTACTATAATAAGCTCAAAAAAGTGCTCTAAAAATGGTTTATTTGTCAATGACAGAGTTCTCAATGTCTCGTGCCAAAATTCAAATTATGTGACTTACCAGGTTTTTGCGATGACCGATTCAATTATTGTTCCATGCCGAAAATGGGATCTTTTCCACATTGAGAAACTATGAGAAGACGAAATCTTAGGAATAAATCACGAGGGCGTTGACGGGTGACTTTTCGTGCTTGATAATCTTCTTGGTCAAGTGGTAAAATAAAGCACTGAGTCTGAATTTTATTATGACTTCAATTTTTCATTTTTAGTAGCGGCAGATCGCATCTATTTTCCAGAAGAGGTGAGGGACTCTGTAAAAGACAGAGTGGACATTGACCTTCTTCCAAGAGTTGGCGACCAGGCTCCAAGATGTGCTAATGGCAGCACCTTCTGTGAACACGTGGATGCTTATCCTTCCCATTTTGTCGAGAATATTCTTAGGAGAAATAAGGTAAGGGCAAAAAGTGTACAAATAAACTCCATCTAATCTTGACCATGCCAAAATATTGACTATCAGTTTTCCAATAGCTGGTTAACTTCCAAGTTTGGTAGCTTTAACTTCTAAGTTAACTAGTAGTTGTCCAAACATTTGTTTTACAAGTCCTGGTTAACTAACACCTAACTGCTGATCTGGAAACGCTGCTTCTACGTGTAAACTATAATGTTCCGTGAATTTTGTGACGTTTGCCATTTGTGTCCAGTGTCGTCCGTGACAACTCATGTCACTGTCAACCAAAAAAACATAGAACCTATAGAGGAGAAGCTACGGCAATGTTCTCCGTACTGTAAAAATGACACCGACACTTGACGCCTGGAGTATCAGGTGTGCTTTGACAGGGTTGCCACGATGACGGATTTTCCCCCAAATTTGTGAGATCTTTACTTGTGGAATCCTTTGTGGATATGATCTTCTGAGGGAACTCATGTAAAATCACACGTTTCGCGGATAAAAAGCACCCACGCTCTTCACTCAAAGCTACCATTAATTCAGTGTGGTTCGTGGGATTTTTTTTAAATGAGCAATTCGGAGTGTTTTGGTTACATCGCGTACTGATATCGTATGTTAAACACTAGTATTTCCTGTTACCATCAATCTACGTAAGATTTGACTTGTTTTTATCATAACAAAAAACAAATTACCCATATCATAAAGCTTTAGTAAAATATTTTATGTATGAAGAACGGTCCCAAATTGTAAAATTTTTTTATAACACCACTGATAGTATACCGGGTGTTTCAAATTGGATCCTCACCGTTGGGATTTCGAAAACTGAAAGAGGTACGCAGTCGCTTAAATGGGTCAAAGTTGCGTATTTAGGTAACTAACAAAATCGCTCTTAGGAAGTTTCAAAATTCGAAATACTTCCGGAACGAGACAGACATTTTTTCAAAATCGTTTTAGTTTATTCCTGACTTTATTTGTAGAGGGATTTAAGAATAAATTGCACATTGCCACTTTTTCTCCTCTACAAGATGGCATAATCAGAATTTCAAAATGACGTTTCGTCTGTTGTTCTCCAGTAACAACTTTATTTTTTCTTATGAATACCATATTGGATTTTTGTACAGCCAAGTAGAGCTTTTAATTCTGATTCCAAAAATGTATAACGTGTCATACATTGATATTGTCAAACCTTAGTTATTTCAAAAAAGAAAACAGAAATTACCAGATATGATTTATTTCGTATACCAGATTTATGACAAAATCCTTTTCTGACTTTCTTTGAGATGCGATTTCGAAATAAAATGTATTGTGTCATTGTCACTTTTTCTTGTACAAGTCAGCGTTAAAATTTTCAACTCTAAATTTCTTCTTTCGACTAACATCACCACGTTTGTTTTTTCATATGTATAAACGTTATATTGGAGTTTGGTACCTACTAAAAATAAATATCATATTAATTAAATATGTGAAGTTAATCATGACATACATTACAAAAGTATTATATTCATGATTGAAAAAATTGTTATTCATTATTTGAAAAATTGTGATCAATTGAGCAAAATTTAAAAAGATTAAATAAGAAAAAAACAAAGTTGTGGATGGAGATCGAAAGCAGAAACGTCTAATTGAGAGTTTCACTACGCCCTCTTCTAGAGGCAGAAAGAGTGGCAATGTTAGTGTGTATTTTATTTTCAAATCCCATTTCAAATAAAACCAGGAAATAAACAAGGATTTTTCAATAAATCCGGCACACGAAACAAATTACTATCTGATAATGCCAAGGCGTACATAGGAAATTCTATTTTCTTGAAATGACTAAGTTTCGGCAATGTCGATGTATGACGTAGTATATGTTAAAGAATTGAAAACTCTGTCTACCCAAAAATCCAATAAGGCGTCCATTAGAGAAAATAAAGTTGATGCTGGATGACAAAAGACAAAACATCATATTGAAACAAATCATACCAACTTGTAGAGGAGAAAAAGTGGCAATGTTAATGTACAATTTGTTTCAAAATCCAACTACAAATAGAGTGAGGAAAAAATAAAACAATTTTGGGAAAATTCTCTCTCCGGAATTACTTTGGATTTCAAAACTTTCTAAGCGGCATCTTGTTGGTTACCGTAACACGCAAGTTTGCCCTAATTTAAGCCACTTCGTATGTATCACCGATGATGAGGTTCAAATTTGAAACACCCCGTATATTGATTATTCCTATCAAAACTCGCGGTTTCACGCATATGATTGAGGTTTTTCTACCGAAATCTTTGACCTGTTTCCATCTTCATATTTTAAGTAAGTGTAAGTAATGATTTTTTTAACATTGCTGACTATGTACTCTCTTTGGGTAGCACTACGCAGACTTTTTCGCCCTTGATGATGTGCCGATAGAAATTTCAAATAGGGTCGCAGGAGACTTAGAGAAGCCTATTTGCGAATCTAGGCAGCAAACTGTGTACCCTACGGTCGGAGAAACATCTACAGGAGAATGGAAATACATAGTTAATCTGAAGAACACCAGAAATGGTCTACAAAGAGAGATATCGCAGGCAGTGACTGTTGAGATTTGTGTAGGGTGAGTATGGTGTTATGACCTACTATACTCTATACCGACTAGTTAAAGTCGTGGACGCAGTTGTTTTATCCTTATTAAGGATCATCAGAACGACATTAGCATGACAAGAGGTAGATAGTGCACGTTCCTCAATTCAAGAAGTATCAACAGGTGTGCAAATGTAACAGATTTATAATTGCGTTACAACCTATGAATATTTAACATTTTATTTGTTTTGCAGACGAGAAAGAGGGAATTCCTGCAGTCTGATGGATGACATTTCATACGGTTACACCACTTATTGCAAACAAAAGTATACTTACAGGAAGCTTTTTTCTTTTAATGAAACTGCGATGATTCCGTATTTTTTCAAAATGCCATCGGCGTGTTGCTGTGTGTATAAAAGGGAACCACTTTTCCCTACTTAGTATGGCGCGTTTATGATTAAGCTATGTATATTTAAAAAAAATGTGCATACAATTCTGGTAAAAATGTTATTCGGGAATGCTGATGATTTTCCAAATGTTTTTTCAAGATTTCAAACTGCAAATTAATGAAGTAAACAAATTATCATGTTTCTAAAATGTTGTTGGAGGTACTTTAGAAAAATTAGATTATCTCACGTTTCTTATCTAAGAAAAATGAATTAAAACAAAGGACTATTTTGTGAAACGACTCCTAGAGTTTTTCTTAAACTGTTTTATTTTTCTTATTGTAATTTTCCATGTTAATTCTTACCACTCAATACAGAAAATTTCCTATCACAGAAGGTGGTACCCTATCCTTAGGAGTGATTTTATGTGTGCATTTAAGGAACTACATCACTTGAGGCGCTTAACGTGAATTTCCATTTGATTCAAATAGTCTCTGACATATCTGACATGAAGCCCAAAGTTTGTAGTTATAATTCAGTTAGTGATGACCCATTTGTTAACGTTTCTTGGGCTCATCCGGCGATAAACACGTCATTAAACTTTGATTGGCAATTTTGGCATCGGATCAATCAACTAGCTTATGATTATCCATCCTTTACCGTTATTGTATCTACATAGTGATATAATGGCTCATAAGCTTCAAAGTTATTTTTGTTAGGTAAAGTAACTTAGCTTACCTTTATCTTGCACACAGTGTGTTACCAACTGAAGCATCATTAGAAGACAACAATATGTCGGTCGGTGTTACCTACCACTAATGGTCATATCTAGAAACGTTCATTAAGGATTGAGAGCAGTTTGAGGAATAATCAAAACTGTTGAATCGCACAAAAATTTTAGAAGCATTTAATACTCTATCAAGTAACAGGTAGAAGATATTATTATAGTATATAGTATACAGTATATAGTATACGGTATATAGTAATCTCCAAATTAGTGATAATAATGCCTGATAATTTAAAAAAAAAGTGCTGAAGGAGAGAAGATGTAAAAATACACTACACACAATTTGAAGGAAATAACAGGAAATAAAAAAAAACAACCTTGGCTTTTAAAAAGACGCACAATCGGACGAAGAGGGAATACATAAAATTCTTATTCGGGGCTTTATAGTACTTTTCTCCAGATGACCACCTCACTCTATACAAGGCCCAGCTAAGACCAAGCCTCGAGTAATGCTCACACGTTTGGAGCTCTTCGGATTAACAAAGTTCCTTTGGGATCCGCATAGTAGCCGCGGTGTCCTCATTTAGGCTTCTGCCTGCGCGGTTGCTTCGTTGTAAAATAAAAAATAAAAAAATAATCTATCTATATTCATTTAGCTCCGCACCGTAGGTTTATTATTCGCTATAACTTCGAATCACTTCGAATAGGTTAGAAGGAGCCAAAATTGCGTAGTTTCAGTGCATACTTTTGACTCATTTGACTACCAATGCCTATCAACGAGACAGCGTTACATCAACACCATAATAATACTTACCGGGGGAAACATCTACCTTCATTAGGCTTGTGCCGCTCTTTGCAAATTATGTAAGAAGTACCATGTCTTGAAATAGTCTAACACCACAATTATCTGCAAACATTCGTACTTCTGAAAAATAGCACTAAAGAACGAATATAATGTCAGAACTGTCAAAAAAATTACGTATGTCAAATGCACTCCTACCTGGTCTGAATTCGTTGAAAAAATAAAGCATACAAAATATGTGGTGCGACTTGACCTGATCACACAAATTACTGTTTGGACTGATAGCACTGAACCAGTGGTGCCATTTTCTTAGGTTGTGTAATACCAGTGGTAACATACTGTATGTAACATGTGTATGAGTTTTGTATCAACATTGTTATTTATGTAATGCTTTATGAATTTGTTAATAAAATGTTTGTTGAACTTGCTTGACTTTTATTCTGGAAGCAACACGTTGTAAAAATATGTAAATTTCCAATTATTTCGGTCCACCAAAGATATGAGATACCCTTATTATTATGTGCCGAATAAATATACGGTATCATCTCTAGCAAATGGTTAGGTGAAAAAAGATACCACGTGCGTCAGTATCTGACCTAATCACCACGCTCCGCGTGGGTTAACTGAGCTGTTTGTTTATAAATTCGAAAATGCGAAAAAAGGGTTAATTAGAGTAGAGTAACGAACTTCTTTGCTACCTTACGATGGGTTTCTCTAAGATGCCATTGGCGCTTCGCGAATGTATTGAGATTGTTGCCCTTGAAGTGTAACGTATGAGCTTTAACTTGAACAGCTAACAACGTCAATAATTAGAACCTTTAAACATCGAAGATGGCCGTTTTTAGGCGTTTTCATGCTCTAAATTCCTTATAACTCCAAAGCGGCATGAATACTAAAAAAAGTCACATTTGCTCGTTTTAGTTCTGAATTATCCAGAAACTTTCCAGAGTAAAAAAAATAATGTTTTGATATTCGTTTAAGAATTTGGTTGATCAAGTTTGTACGCTGTTACAGCCCGGCAAACGCGATTATGAAACAAGTCTAGTTGAAAGTTTCTCCCACAATTGCGAAGCTTTTCCCTCGTCTGTCAATACCCAAGTAACAATTCCAACTCATGAATAATGCATCCTTTGCATCAAAGGGTAGGTCTATTATAAACTTCGCAATCTACGTAACGGCAGCATAATATGATGCTTAGTACACGTTAAAGTTTTTCAATTTCGCAAGTACTGAGGCGAATGTCAAAGAGATCCGCTTTCATCCTGTGTTTTTTCATACTACACATGCTGGTCGGCATAAAGTTCTAACTTAATGTGACTGTACTTTTTCCTTAATAGTCTGGGACTATCTTATAAGCTTATTGTGCATGTGTGCCCTTTTATGTCCTGTCAATTTAAATGCGGTGCGTTATTAAGCAGGTATAGGAGTCTATAATAAATGAAATAAAATACCTAATACAATTTTAAAAACAAGCTTTTATGTAGCTGTAAATAAAATGAAGTATACATTTAAAAATATTTGTCCCTATTGGACGTATTCAAACCAATCGCAAAAAAATATTTTTATATTCTTGGTTCATTTTATTAATTAGCCAAATGACAGTTTTTATGAATATTTTTTTATATCTTATGTATATTTCATTTTTTAATAGTTTGGTAATTTCTGTATAATTGTCATGTTTTATTAATAGGGCTCTATAAAATTTCTTACTCCTCACTTCTCTAATGAAATTTTGATTGATAAAAATCATATAATAATAAATCGATATTTTGCTGCGATTGCCTTATGGAATTTAAACTGACGTTTCTTGCTTATTGTTTTTCTCTCATTAAGCCCTTTTACTTGATACCCATATCGTAGCGGTGGTCATGGAAATTATAAATCGTCATCTCCCATAAAGCCCTTTAATGTGGTACCTATATCATAGAGGTGACTATGGTAACTATAAACGCCATCTTGAAGCGGTCTCCATATTGGATTTAGAATGACGTCACTTTGTCTATCGTGTAACATAGGGAAATGGAAACGATGAATCGCCATTTTGCCGCATCCGTCATATTGGATCCAAAATGGCCACAATTATTCATTTTGATAATACTCCACATATATATGCAATTCTTCTTTGATGTAGCAAACGTTTCGGTCAAAATAGTGTCCATGACACTTTTGACAATATTTTATTTATCTGTTTTCCAATTCATTTTGTATTGTCGCGCAAACCAAACTTGTATACAAAACTTCAGTTCAATTGGTTAAGGTTAAGTGGTTCGAAATTCAGTTCCAACATTTGTCCCACACATACATATTAATCTATGTTACTTACTTACAAACAGTCAAGTTAAATAAAAGTTTTTAAAAATCAGGTTACGCGATCCAAATCATGTTCATTTGGCCGCCATATTTAAAAATAGGCGCCAAGTTGTAAAACCGGTAACACAACATATCTTCACTATCAGTGGCCGACTGGGACTGGGAGTAGAGAAATCAATATTTTTAAGCTACTTGTTGATCTTAGAGGGAAAGTAACATCGGACTCAAGACCTTCGCACGTCAGCAGGTTTCAGAACATGAAAAAATGATTTTCAAACTGCTTCTAACCAACAAATTCAGTTGAACAGACGAATTTCCACCTCTATCCGTCAAGCTGGGTTGGTTATGTTTCCAACTACTCACAAGTGAGAAATTCGTTGCCGGAACTTGTCTCATGTCGTAGCCAAAACTAGCCTTTGTGAAACTCATGTGTTGACATTATGAGCAAAAGAAAATACCTTGTACAAAGAGAGATAGCAACACTGACAGCAGCCGCCTAGAAACGTTGTACGTGGTTGGTCTTGATTAAGTGACGGAAAGCAAATAGATTCAGTTCAGTCAGTGTCCGTGGACGGTTCAAAGCAATTCTTCTCGGGGGGAGGGCTAATGTGGGCGCATTGCAGGTAGCCTTGTATGCCGGTTGACTGACGGGTCGTCCTTTTAATATGATAGTGTGCGACATATATCCGTTCATCGAAGGTAACTGTCATTAAGTGTAAGCCGGAGGCGTAGGGGACTTCTGCATTTTCAGTGTATCTGTCGAATATTTATAAAGCTTTAGCTAACTATTTGTAGGTGGCAAATGACAGAGTTGTGACGTCTTTGCGCACGCCATTACTACACCATATCCACATGTTTGCTTTCACTTTGTTTGTATCCTTGTGTCTAGAGGTCTAGGTGCTATAAGTTTTATTACATTGATTAAACATACTGCCCCAGTTTACGTTAACTTTACATATTTTTTATATTACAAAAATAGCTTTAATATATGGGAAAAAATAAAGAAAAGGGCTAAAAAATCAAATTCTGTTTTAGATTGGATTCTGGATCTTTTTAATATAATACCTAATAATGAATCTACCTGCATTCATTACCACGTTTGATTCGACAGCTCTATCTAGATACACTTTAAAGCGGATTATCCCAATCATGTGCAATCCTGACCGTTTATTTCGGCAATCCGCAAGTCAAACCAAAACTGATAACGTCAAAATCTTGGACATAGGGCTTCTTCGAAATTAGCGGTCAGGATTAGCACAGGTTTGGGATAATCTACTTTGAAGTCTATCCGGATAGAGCCGTCGAAATGAACATGGTAATTATACAAGTATGTTTAGGGATATAGGTGCTTCCTCCTCCATTATCCAGTAAATATACAAATTACATTTATTAACTAATCGCTATCACTATCAGTATAATCTGAAGATTCTGAATCGTTTCCTAAGTAAATAATGACTGGTTCAACCACTCTTTCCATACAGTGGTCAGTTGTCCACATTTTTTCATCCTCCTCAACATATTCGATTGCTTTTTTCCAAGTTTCTGGAGTTACATTTTGTACCGCGGTGTAAAAAAGCTGGAAACTTCATTTTTAATTTGCGCCCAAATTAATCCGATTGGGTTAAACTCGCAATGGTAAGGAGGCAGGCGTAAAATAGTTCGATTGGTAGATTTAGCCATTTCGTCGATGACATACTTGTCAGCACTTTTATTGCCCTTGACCAGATTTAAAAGTTCGGCTTTGACCATATCGTTGTCAAAGAGAACATTATGACTTTGTAGCCATTTCTGTATTTCCTCTTTTCTGTTTCCACTGTTTGGTGCTTTGTCAATACGTATACTATGGTATGAAGTATTGTCCATAACAATGACAGCGTTCTCTTCTAGACGGCTTATAATATTTTCAAACCATTATACAAATAAATTGGCATTTATATCGGCGTGGTAGTCTCATGCTTATTTTGATTCAAATACCAATAGTCCGTCTTTCACGAAGCCATTATCAGATCCGATGTGTAAGATAATTAGCCGTTTGCCTTTCCCTGAAGGATTTTTTAATCTCGTGGAAAGACCTTCCATACTTTGCTAAGAATGTGCCCTGCATTGAGCCAAGTCTCGTCTAGGTAGTATATATTCCTGACTTCTTCTCTATACCTCCAGATTTCGCGCAAGTATCTACGTCTCTAACATATTAAAACTAAAAATTACCTTAAAATCTCTAAATTCGTGAATTCAATGAACCATATTATACGAATAAAGAATTTCAGATGATACATCTTAACAAAATTTCAAATTTAGTTTAGTCATAAATTATAGATAAAGAATGATAAAAAACATAAAAAACTCTAAACTATTTTTGTGTGTGAAAATTTTACGGATTTTTTTAGTTTTGTATTTTGCTTTCAAGGAGAAATAAAAAACAAAATAAGTTTTTTGTACAACACTTACCGAAAATTAAGTTCCATCATTAATGTAACCAACGGCGATCTTTTGAAGTCTGGCAAGTCGCCGTCGTTTATTGATAACAAAATTTTGTTCAATGGGGGTGGTTCGCTTCGGAAGAAAAATTCGTGGATTTTTCTTCAGAATAATGCCTTGTGAAAAGTTGTCCAAAACTACACTGACTCTATAGTAACCCTTAGGAGGAGAAAGACTGTTGCTTCTTTTTTTTATATACTACACTGCAAATTGATGCTCCTGAAAACAAGAGAATACATTTTGCATATATTATATATACTTGCATTAATAAATAATAAAAATTATAAATAAGTTTTAAAAATCAAAATGAGTGCAATGGAAGTATCTATCATATTAGTGGGTAAGATATTCAACAGAAAATGACTATCATTTAGAATAATATATCAAACTACAAAACATGTTAAACTATACTTCAAAGCTAAATCCTCACCTGATGCTCTTGAAACAAAGGCTACACGTTCTGTCTGAGTTTCATTTGGATAGCGCTCCCGAGAAGCTATATAAGTATTTATAAAAAATCTCTTTTTGCCCGTTCTCTTGGTAATTGGCCCTCGTCTAATAAGGCACTCATGACGAAATATTCTTTTAAAAGTTGCCTCACAAAAATAAATGAAGCATACCAAAAAAATCAACCGAACGCCACAGACCTTCGGAAATTCTTCTTCGGAAGTGCTAATCTACCGAAAACGGACCAATAGGAACGAAGCGCGTGCCGGTCAGATGATTTATTACTTCGTACGTTCGTTGGATAGATTATATGCAACAACGTTGTACACGGTTGGTCAGAGACGGTAACCAGACAGATTCAGTTTCAAAAAACACCTTAGCAAACACAGGAATATCTCACGACCCGAAAGGATATCAGCGACCCATCTGAAAATCTTCTTGGGTATGGCATAAAACGTAAGCTTACTTAGGAGAGCAGCATCCATCAATTATAACATATCAAAGTTCAGATGTTACATTAAAGTTCATATCTCGAACCGTTAAGATTTTTCACCGTTCCTTATTCACGAATCGTTAATTCATCTATCGTCTTGGTCAATCCGAGCACACCCGCTTAAATTTACTGTGGAATGTTCAGTCCTCTGACGAGCTGAAAAACGTAGAAAAGGGTAGACGGGAAACAAGCATGAACATTTCCGAACGAAATTCAAACCCACACATTCCACTATTCTAGAAAGGAATGGTAAGGGTAGATTTTATAGATCAGGCTTACTAGCCACAGATGGACTTTGTTGCAGAAAGTGGTTGTCCCTTTAGCTTCAGACGGATTTGATAACGCATAGTAAATGGAAAGGCCCCTAACTGATCTAGAGACAGAAAAAAGTTTAATTAAATTTTTATATGTTATATATTTATATATTTATATATATTTTTTTTTCGCACGGTACAAAGTTTTTATGGCCTGAATCGTTATTAACCAAAAAGTTCGTTAATATTTTTTCTGTAGCTGAACGTTTTCGATTTATCTGCAATTTAAGGTCTTAAAAACTCTCAAAACGACAACTGTTTGATGGTGAAAGTCTCTTTCAAAAACCATGTTTAAGTTTGCTAAGTATCTAAATTGTCAGTTCCAGTGGCGTACTCGAGTACTAAGAATCCCGGACGTAAATTCACTCCACTCTCGGAAATTTTGTTTTACGAACATCTGCGGGATTAACAGCAACATTGATGCTGTTCATCACCACCTGCAATCCAGTCGTCCCGCCATGCTTGTCTTGGCGGAAACAAAAATTTCAGAATCAGCACCGATTAAACATCTTAGCTTCCCAAATTACGAGGTGCAATCCAATTTGAGAAAGAACGTGGGGTTGTGGCTTTTGTCCGCAGCAGTCCTTCCTGCCCTTGAGACGTTTCTTTGGCCTTTATCGCTCTCCCTCGGACCATAGCTGGGATAACCTCGCTGTCAAGATATACTTCCTGTAGATCAATCACCCTGATTCAGAGGTAGTTCTCCTCGGTAATACCAATGCCTACAATGGGCTTTAGTTGGGCTCCTACAAGACCGATGCAGCGGTTCGTGGAGTTGAAGCGTTCGGCTATTACCCAAGGACTGACCCAGCTGGTGACAAGCCCTACTTTTTCCCCCGCGTCTCGTCACATACCAGTAGCCTGATGGATCTCTTTTTGACCACGCATCCTATCCCTTACAGCACTGCTGTCCTCCCTGGGTAAATCAAACCCGCTGTGGCAGGAGAAACTCGCCCAGGCCGCAAAATTTGGCGTTACAGACATGTCGACTGGGAGGGGCCCAGAGACTTTTTCTCACTTTTCCTTGGAGAGATGTTTGTTCCGTGGGTGCCATGTCGCAGCGCAATGGCAGTCGGTCTATCCGGACGCTACCCAAGCAGATTGAAAGGACCTTCTCACAGAGTAGCCTTCCACCGCTTACAAGTCAGGATGGAACTTAAAGGCTCAAGCGGCAGTGCTTGCCAAAATCTTTGCTGCCAACTCCATCACGGATGACCCCCCAGCGCCCAAGTGCCATCGACTTAAAGGGTCCCCTTTACTATGCGGGAAGTAACATTCAGGCATAAGACTGTGAGACGGCTGCTCTTGCCGCTCCACATCAAAAAGCTTCTGGTCCGGACTTGACTCCTGTCGTTGTGTTGAAGAGGTATGCAGCGGAGCTTGCTCCAGTTCTTTCGCCCCTATTCCAGATATCTCACGAATCCGACACCTTCCCAAAAAACTGTAAATTTGCTCATGTCTATGTTAACCCATCCCAAAAAAGGATCTAAGTCCAGCCCTTAAACTACAGGACTATCACTCTGCTTTCAGTTATAAGTAAGTTGATGGAGACGTGCATAAATCGGCGACCTAGCGCTCCTCTACCGCTACACCAACGGGCTTTGCTCCTCAGAGCTCTCCTCCATGATGCCGCCGCGCGATGTGCTTGCCAGACGCACCTGCCTAACTTCGGCCTCCCATCCTAACCGTGTCGAACTTCGTACATCCCAGAACTGGTCGATACGACCTTTCCTTTATCCCTAGGATGTCGAGATTGTGGAACAATCTACAAGGAAGTTCAAAAATCGGATTGACAAAATTTCTTTGGGATCCTCATAGCAGTTGTGGTGTCCTGGCATATAGTCTTCTGCGCGCAGAAAAAAACACGGCTCTTTTTTATGCCAAAGCAGCCGCGCAGGCAGAACCTTAAATGCTGCTATTCCGATTTTTATCCGATTTATGTGTTAGCTTGTCTTAAAGATCCTTATGAGTGCTTTATAATTCTAGAATATAAAATCACTTTATCCACAATGGAGGACTGGGGAACTGTCAAAGTTGAGCATTTTGGTATATTGAATCCAGTACAACTCGATAACCAATCAGCAAAACCTTATATCATGTTATATAAATCTTTTTCTTCTGGCAAGGTGTATCTGAATCTACAATAAAGTATGAGACCTTCGGTTAGAAAATGACACATTCTGAGATGTTTTTAATAGAATGATTCATATTTTATCACACGCTCAAGTAGACCCATTCATTCGTATTACATACTATAGCGTTTTGATGGTTGCTTGTTAAGTTATAAGTGAGTCAATGTACAAAAACGCTCAACGTTGACAACCTGCCAGAACATTATTTACAGCATTTATGCGCTACGGCTGTAAAGTACTCATAAGGAGCTTCAAAGTACTCTTTCACACGACCCCCATTCCACTTGAAAGATTTCAAAACGACGCCATCTTAAACCTGTGACCCAGATCTAGACAAGGTGAGGTCCATTTTGCCAAGTTCATGATAATACTATGAATTTTCGTTTGTTACTTGCAGAATCCACCTCAGTGTCACATAAGAAAGTTATTACTATATAAATCATTTAGGTCTCGTACAGTAAATTACAATACAAGAAAAGTATTTCACACGCAATTATATTAAAACTCTTTTTCAGACTCAACTTAGTCTGGCTCTGAGGTACAGGGACCTATAGGATTCATGTACCAATTTCATCATTATGAATTTTAACTTGCTAACTTGACGCGTTCAGAAGATAGTAATAGAGAGGATTTTTGAAAAGCACGGTATAATGCAGCTGTAAAATTAGTCTGTTTGGTTTTCAACATATGTTAATTTTGGCTAGTTATCCTGAACTATAAGGGAAGAGAAGTATTTTAGACGGCCTGTCGGCTGGGCTTAAATTTAATTTGTGGCGTGTGAACGCTGAACTGTGTAGTCCAATTTCCTACTAATTCCATAATTACAATTAACTGGTCTAGAAAGGGAACAAGAGCACCGGAATGGAGTTTTTCAATTAGAAGAACTCATTATTAAAATAAGTGCGCAGTTGCCACAAGCGAAGCTTAAAATATGTGCTTCGATCCTGGTTTCGTTTTTGCCAATTACAAGTCATGCAGTAAAAAAGGCAACGTCGCAAGTCGTGCCCAAAGTAGTCCTATCGATAACTTGCCGGCCGCCGGCCCAGCGTACTTCCAAGTTAAAATGTTGAGTAAATACTGATCATAAACGAGTTATCGGAATTTGATGATTATTATTATTAATATTGGCATCTACTAGAAACAATAGATACAACGTACTTGCAGTCAAAACAATGTAAGAAGAATGATAAAATCTTTAATGATTTACGGTTTTAGGTTTTCGTTTTTTTTGAAGAAATGTTTTTGAAAAAGTAGGTGTGGGTATATTGGAAAATGTGAGTGCTATGTTAAAATTCATACTTTTGATCGGAGTACAGTATCCAATGAACATAGAAAGATCCATGAAAAGCTCGTCATCATAAAGTGGTGGCGCAATCAATTGAAAGTAGAGGAGAGGAACCAAATTTGAGATACTTTTTTTGTGAAGGGAAAATAAAATACTTTTTGTTTTAAACAAGGTTATATATTTAAATAAACTTGCGATTTTATGCTCCTAGCATACTCTAAACTAAAAAAAATAACTATAAATGTTTTCTTTTACAGGCGAAAAGTGTATTTAAATAAAAGTAAACATTTTTGTAGATTTACAGCTGGTTCCCTAATTTGAGATAGATAGTTATCCAAATTTGAGATAGGTACCCTTATTTAAGATACTATTCGAAAAACCCCTTCCCTTCACAGAAAGTGCAAATGAAAATTTTATTGGCAATCTCTCCACAATCTTCATGTGCCCATCTACTACAATGGCTGCATTTGGCCCATTTTTCGCCCTTCTTATCTTCAGAAAATCGACCCGTACAAAATAAGCATTCAGCATCGCTTCCACCGCTTTCGTCTGAGGATAAATCATCCAACTTAAGGCTTCCGCTAGATTCTGAACTTGAACTGGAGTGGGAAGGTATCCGAATCCTTTTGGACCTTTTAGCACTAGATGTAGAAGGCTGGTTCTGGTTGATTGACCTATTAGCTCCAGATGTGGAGGGTTGATTTTGTGTGGATATGCTATTTTGGTTTAAATTAGCATCCAATTTTTTTTTGGGAATTGCTTTCATCTGTCTTTTCTCTAAGCTTGCCTGCAACTCTTTCTTATATGGCGTGTGAGTAATGACTACTGCCTTTCCTGATCTTCTGCTCACTGTATTTTGTTTTTTATATGAGGGCAAAGGACAAATATCGGTTGGAGAGACTAATTTAAATTGTATTTGTTGTTCTAAATTCGGGCTAGGTGTTCGTTGTTGCACTCTAAATTCTACAGTGTCTACGAAATTAGTGATGCTTGCAATTTCGTTTGCGATAGAAGTACTTGCATCTTGATTCACTAGATTATCACCTGTGAAATCAGCAGAAGTAGCCGCATTCTCATGTATTTGCTGTGCTGTATCATCACCTTGATGGTCTACTTCACAGGGATCTACGGTGTCAATCCGATCTTCCACCCGATGAACGCTAAAATCGGACTCTCTAAAAATATTTCTGTTGATAGGCACCAGTCCTGTTTTCCGAAATCCATTACAAGAGGTTTCCATTGTAGCAGCTCGATTGTAAGCTTTGCAAAAAATGCTAGAAATTGCATATGGGGAAACAGTACTTAGCTGATTCTCTCGAAGCCAATTCTCTATTTCCTGTGCATAGAAAGTCTTTAATGGTGACATAAACGAGACATCTAATGGTTGCATCTTGTTTGTTGAGTGTGGTGGAAGACATATTATTGCCACATGATTTTGTTTTGCTAAATCTATCAGGTCAATGTTCCTTGTGTGAGAATAATGACCATCTAATACTAAAAGAACTGGATCAGAAGCAGTAGGCTTTGTAAATTTTATAAAGTGATTAACCATCGGGTAAAAATATCTGCCTGTACCCAACCTGATATATGGCATTCCGCAATTGCTCCATTTGGGGCTCCTAACATTAGCTCTGTTTTCATATTTTTTCTGGGGAAGATTAACAGTGGTGGTACATACACGCCTGAAGCGTTCATACAAGTAATTACTGTGACCAATTTACCCCTCTCTGCTGAAGTAAGTGATGCAATCTGCTTCTTTCCTCTAAGAGAGAGAACCTTAGTGTGCTTATGTTGAACCACAGTAATACCCGTTTCGTCTACATTGAATATCCTGTGAAAAGGATTTAGAATTTTGTTATATTCGGCCTCATATAGGTCAAAAAAGCTTGAGACTTTCTCAGGGGTGAAAGACTTTATACGAGCAGCTGACATGCCTTGTGGCGTTCTCATGGATAGCTGAGGATGTCTTTTTAGAAATAGTCGTAGCCATTTCTTTCCTGCTGATTTTTTAAGTCCATTAAAAGGATGAGATATGCTATTTCGTAACGCAAGCTGGAATGCCAAACGCTTTATATCACGCGCACGTAAGCCAAAAAATCGCTCTTCCATAGCTAATGCATATTGTACTAACTGATTTTCAAGTTCAGGGGAAAGAATAGTCTTGCGACCAATTGGTGTGTCTACAAGTTCTCTTGGATCCTTACCGGATCTAACATATCTTTCTATGGTTCGAACGCTCTTAGAATATGACCGCTACGTCATCGTGGGCGGGTCCGCTCATCATGCGGTCGTCGACAGAGCGCAGTGGCGTTCTATTTTATTTGAAGTATAAAATAAAGTGAATAGGTTGTGTAGACATTGATCATTAATTGATTTTTGTATTATTATATTCATTTAGTATGCGCATTAAGTTGTTCGGAAGCAAATTTGAATTAGAAGAGGGAGCAAACTAAAGACGGTTATAATTCAAATTATATATTATCATTAAAAAATCTAATCGCTATCAGATGATAGTGTGTTTAGCTTCAAATCTTCATCTGAGTCGCTTTCGTCACTATCTTCTGATGATGACCCTGTGTTCACATTGAATTGATACTTATCCATTTGATCGTCGAGAAGATGTTCTTTTTCCATTTGTGCTTGCTCATATTTTTTCACGTGGTTACAAATTTTCTTCCACTCATCTGCTCCAATTTCTTCAAACCTGCTACGGGTCAGATGCTCCACATCAGACAACCTAAATGTCACATTTCGTGGAGCAACCCAGTTTTTTACGAGAGCCCAAATCTTCTCGATTGGGTTTAGCTCCGGATGATATGGAGGCAGTCGTAAAACTTTATGCCCGTGCTGTTCCATTAAGGCATCTAGCTTGAATTTGACTGGAAATCTTCTTTTATTTTTCTGTATTTTTTTATATAGTTCAGCCTTAGTTAATGAGTTTTCACTGGGAATTTGATGTTTTTCTAGCCAGTCAATCATCTCTGATTTCAGGCTAGAAGACGTTACATTTTTTTCTTCCAGGACATTGTGATAAAAAGCGTTATCAACTACAAGCACAGAATTTTCAGGCAAATTTGGGATCAATTGGCTTTCTACCCATTTCATGAAGTTCAAATGATTCATGTCGTTGTGGTAGTCCCCAGATTTTGAGCCTGAAAATAAAATACATATAATCCAGTAAATGTAAAAATATATTGGAAATATTTTACATCGTTGTAACACAAATAATACCTGATTTAAATATCAACAAGGCGTTAGGAATAAAGCCGAATTCTCCACCAGCATGCACAATAATCATTCGTTGTCCTTTTGATAAAGGCGTTTTTAGTTCCTTGTCATAATTATCATCCTTTTTTTGGGGTATGACTAGAATGTATATATGTTTCATCCGTATAAATTATGTTCCTGTTCTCAGCTCTATATTTCATAATTTGCTTCAGATATTCGATAGGCTTCAAGCGAATTTCATATTTTTCCATGAGAGCTTTTTTATTATCAGTAGTTCTTTTCCATCTGTAGATATAAATTATATTTATAGCGTTGTAAATCGAAAACCTTATAGTGTGTATGAATACTGACCTAAAGCCCATTTGTTTCAAAAGTTTGTTCAAAGTCGTTATTTTACCCTCAAAATTGAGTTGTCGATCTTGCATTTTTTGGTAAATACCTAAAAAATCTTAAAATGAAATATGACTAGATGCTACGGTTACAATTTAAAAACTTACATTTCAGCGAAGGTCTTCTTTTCTCCAAAATATAAAAATCGTATATGATTGCTTTCATTTCTTCAATTTGGCCTGCAGTCACTTTATCCACAACAGGTGATTTTCGTTGCCGCTTTTTAGATGGGGATGAAAATGAAAAGTTGCTTGAATATATTCCATCTCTGCTCTCTTTAGCTATTTTTTGATAAGTACATTTACTTATACCCGTGGCAGCTAACACACGTTTCCTAAATGGGTTAATCAGTTTTAATTGACAATAATTATAAAAATCTTTTACATTCATACATACCGGTATTGTTGAAGTGGAAACTTTAATCCCTCTACACTTTCCTGTACCATGAAGTTATTGACATTGTTGACAATTTCCTTTCCTTGACTCCCAATCGCCTTTCCTTTCGCGCCAATCTCTTTCACAGACATTGTTTAGATCACTGGTTCAAAACTATTAATAATTTAAATTTGAACAATAGTAAAAATTTCCACTATATTGCAATCTATTTGACAATTTTTACACACGGTGCCTTGTTCAAATTAGTTTACAAACTGAACTTATGACTAACGGACAGGTTTATATATCTGTTGCAGGTAAAATAAATGTGATTGATTAACACTCATCGTCTTAACGCTACTTACGAATGAAGGGATTTAGCAACCGGGAATTATTCCAGGTAGTTCAGTTTTAAACTTGTTATTATTAGATTTGTTTCTACTAATTTTGTTTACCTAGGCTTGATATTGGTATTAGCCTATTTATCTAGGTACTAATGATGCACTCTAGGAAATCTCATGATTGGTATAGATATAAGCGGATCACGGTCTTAGGATTAATTTAATTACTTTCAGTTGTTTGCCAACTTTGGGGTTTTACCCTTCAATATTGTGTCTATTATATGTAGGTACCTGCTCACTATTTTAAATTTTGATTTATGGATCTCCATCAAATATCCACAAACCCCATAAGATTAATAATTTTCAACACAATCAAATATAAAATATGATATGGTTAATAAATAAAAAAATAAATAAGTCGAACAAACGTCTCATCAGATCCCAATTGTGTCAACAATCTCAACTTGCGTATCTACATACAAAAAAACGTTCCGCCTATGGCTTTCTGAGAGTGGGATGTCCCTTAACAGCGTCAACAGCAACATAATTTCTGGATATTGAAGACCACATACATTTTTAAGCTTTCTACGATATAAATATTCGCCACGATTAGAACTGGACCACATTAAGAGGGCGGTAACAGATGTCCATAAATCTTACCAGAGACTGTCACAACAATTTCCTATATTCTTATAGGGTACAATCGACGCAAGGGAGAGGGTATAAAGTGATGACGTAGCGGGCATAACCTTAGGCTGTTCGAACCATACGGTCCCTTTAGGTACTCCAAAAACTTTTGCGGCTTTCAAATAACCCATCTCCTTATTCTTTACAGCTTCGATGGCCTTTATCATGTCATTTGGGTTCCACTTTTTGTGTTTCGGTGGCATCTGCAATATAAAAAAAATAAAAGATAATCTCTTGATACAGGGCCCTTATTTGAGATAGTCTCAAATTAGGAACACTTGGGTATCTCAAATTAGGAATTTTCCGTTAAGAAGTTCAAACAAGCATATTTAGGTTATGTAATAAAATAAAATCACAATATTGAAAAAGAAAATAAATAAGGTATTTGTAAGCTACTAAATTTATATCAGACAAGTGTTCTAAGTATCTTACCTCACTTTTAGTAATCACTTTTCTCGCACTATTAAAAATATTTTCGACTCTGAACAAGCAACAAGTTGTGATGTCTCAGCAAACCATGTGCAAAACTAGACTGTAAACACATCTAGAATACTACTGCGTCTTAGTTCAACACTTTTTGGTATTAATAGAAGATGGCGCTACATAGATTCAAAGTTACACCACTGTCTCAAATTAGGCGCCTGTCTCAAATTTGGTTCCTCTCCTCTACTATTAGTTGGTACATTAATGAATAACGATTGACTATCAACTGTCAATCAAGGCATAATTGTTTCTAGAGAATATATTTTCGGCGATACTGATAGTAGTAACTGTAGTGACTATTAAAAATTGGCGTATTATTTTGGTTTTCTCCTCATCTAACTTACAGTATGTATTACACTATTATACTACGGGCTTCCACATTGCAAAATCTGTTGGTTTGTTCGTACAGTGGTCGGTGACTTGTCGACAACTGTGTCTGGGATCCGACCGTGTGAATTCCGTCTAAGCAGCATAGCAGAATGAACGAAATTTATGTTGCGGGATCCTAGACACGATGACTGACAGGCTGGCGACATCTGTACGAACGGGGCTTGTATGTATCGTGAGTATGGTGTGGTGGCAAAAACTTGCATAATACCTTTTTTCAACGGATCCGCACAGTTGAATTTGCATCCAGAAACAACATGACCTGGCATCTCCAAATAGTACGTCTTGATATTACTTTGTAACCCTTAATCAAATAGTCCAGACTTTATAGATACTCCACTTCCCGAACTTTACGTTGCGCAGAAACAATTGTTTTTAAAAAAAAAGAACACGGATACAGAGCACAACCAGCACCTTAAGACGATGGCTGCAATGCTCCGGTAACAGCAATATCCGCTAGATGTCACAATAGGTTCGAAATCATAATAAAAGCATTGTTCACGCCCAGTTGTACGTGGCGTGTTCAGTTGGACCCTTGGATGTTGCCAGTGGTATCCAGTCCGTACCATGATCGCATAGCGCAGACGAGGGTAATTCCGATGCATTGTTTATTGGCGTACCGGCGAACGGCCGGCGACGATCTTTGCATCGGAATCATCCCTCGGAGAAGGGAGAGTCGAGGCGCAAACCAGCACGTGGGGTCAACTGAGGCCTGACAAGGCGCAACACAGGAAATCTGGTAACGTTTTTCGTGGTGAAAAAACGGCCGGCAACACTGTCAATATTGATAGTGTCACTTGTCTTGATAGTGTCACTTGTCTTTCATACGTCTTTCTTCGATGTCACCGCTGCCCAGCTGCCATTTTTCCTTTACCGTCAAAAATGTGCCGACGTGTGGAGTGGTTTGCAAATAATTAATATAGGTAAGATGTGATAATGAAATAGAGCAGTTTTACTTTTCATATTTATTGGAATTTAGAGTATGTCATCAAACCCTTAATTAAGCATGCATTTATGTCCACCTTGAAAAAAAAACCTGAGTAAAATTATCTCTCTCCAAGAAATGATTTTCAATATTTTTCCCAGTCAAAGGCAATTATGGTACAATGCCTGTGGATTAGCTTCCGGTACAAAATCTGATAACTTCTATGTTTGCGAAGACCAGTTCGTACTATCTGATCATGTTTCCCTTCAGGATCCCTATTTACGTTTGAACTGTCTTGCAGTTCCAAAAGATGTTGGTCAAATTCGAAGTCAACCCATTAGTCATTCTGATATTGCAGTTTCATTAAAAGAATGCTCTGTTAGTTTCTCAGCAAACATTTGCAGCAAGACATGTAAATTGCCTGCCAAAAGAAGTACCAAAGACTTGACAGATGTAAGTACAATTGAACACGATCACTGCTATTCTAAGCCAAATTTTGTGGTACAGACTCATAATCAAGATAAATATACATTTCTGTCAGACACTTCGAGTTCATGCCTTACACAATTAGAAGTAAGTAAAAGTCAGTTACCAGAAAGGGAATCTAAAATGTATCGAATTCACCGCAACTCAAAGCGATGTTAACATCCCCCAATGCCCTACATATTGGGAAGCACTGTTCTCTGATGAGTTGACCCCATTACAGTTGTATGTTCATTTCAAGGAACAGGGCAACAAGCAGAGGCTGACATACGCAAATGACAAACTAAGTCATCTACTAGATGTTATCCATGTAAAACTGCATAGTCTTTTGTTTGCCCATTTGCCTAATGTTCAAGCCTCCTCCAAAACAGGTCTGACACAACTGCTTGAAAATGTTCAGCCTTGCAAAGTTCATGGTGTCCTCAAAAATATCATTAACAAATGCATCAGAGTATATTAAACATAAAAATTCTTTGAAAATACCTCTTGAAACATCTGATAGTCATTCAAGGAAAATGAAAAAGTTGAATGCCACCAGGTAAATCATTTTCGAATATTTGCTGCTTGTCTTTTAATTATTTCATGTACTTCCCTGGATGAACCATCACAAACCCAGCTCTGACATAACTGACCTTGACTATTTTACCACATTGTGAGAGAATTGTGTTTTATTTTATTTTTTAGAATTTTATGTTGAGTTATTAAAAAACTATATATGGCCTGTACCATATACATGCAGGCCTTACTCGTGTAAAATAAATGTAAAATGTAAAATTTTGCAAAGCAATGTTTATTCAGTAGTATAATGTTATGTTTGATTAACGAAATCTTGTACACTTTACATACAGATTTCACAATATTTTTGATATTGCTTTTTTGTTGGGTGTAGTATCATGCTGTCGTTTCCTTCTGTTTCTGTTTCTTCAATCTTCTGATTCTTCATTATTGCAAATGCACCACATTACGTTATCTACCACAATAAAGTTATTTTCCTAATTATATTGTTTTATTTATCACTCTTGAACGAACCCAATCACAAATACACGTGAGGTGTTTCAATTGTTTTTCCTAATGCAAAATTAATTTTTGTTATTAGGAAAATCATTCAAAACAACCAAATAAAGATGACAATGAGTGACAGATGTGGTGAGAAAGTAGGCAACCACGATAGCACCGCCGTCTGTCATTGTAAAAACATGGCGGCATATGTCATTCGTCGAATTGTTCTAAGTAGGCAGGCGTTCTTACTGTGTATATATTTGTTCTATCACCACGAAAACATGGTGACATTCATGTTGCTGTTTGAATTACACTGAGTAAGCATTCTTTCAGTGTATATGTTTTGTGCAAACCAGTGTATTATGGTCATTCCAACGATATGCTTCACTGTCCAAACACCGACGACGAGATGTGGCAGCTCCGGTTGCGCTGCAGAAAGTTCAGTATCGATAAAAGCATTTTAGGAAACTTATGTACCTGTTATCGACAATCCAATTTATACATCTATAAAAATTTACATTGTATCTATAGTTACATTACACTCACAATTAAATTTATGTTGCAAACTAAGAAGAGAATCACTTTTAATTGCGGGGTCGTTGACTCAGTCTCGATATACCAGAAACACGAGCCTAAAACAAATTGTGACAAGAACAAATCCACGAATCACAACTTAAGAACTATAAACAAGTCAGTGATCAGATGAATCAATAATATATAATTTCAGAGGCGTATCTAGACTCTAGACCTTGGGCTGGGGCCTATTGGTGTTCATTGTATGTTGAACGTTTTTTCTACGTTATATCCTTCGTATTCCAAATAATTCCTGGACTTGTATAGTCACATGATCTTCAAAGTAAGATGGTGATGGTGAAACCAATTTGAATTTTATTACTCTTGATCCCTTTTTGTTTATTTGATACCTTTGGTGGGTTTTGTGAAAGTATAGCGTGACTTTATTTGTTGCGTTGATTACCGGAGCATAGCTACATTCCTAGAATCTTTTTGTTGATATAGGAAACATGATGTGTACATTTTTGAATTCACTAACCTTGTCTGCAGGCGATGCGTCTCATTGAACTGTCAAAGTCGGAGCGCGAGCACCACGCCGAATTCAAGGAGAGGCTGCCCTTGCAGTGGCGTGCAATGTGTTCCGTTGACTAACGTTTTTTCCACATATTTTATGATCCATCATAAAATATTTATACAGTGATTTCAAGGGACTACCATTCTATTTTATTTTTTTAAAGGGCCAAGTTAGCAAGGCAAAATGCAAGGTAATGAAATTGATGCGCGGACAATATATTTCTATATAAAAGTAAAAAAAAATTAGGATAGCCACACACTATTGTTGAAATAATGCTTAACGTACTGCACAAGTTGCACTACAACTGAAGCTTTATATTTGCCTTTTCTGGATCCAAACTGATAGTTGTCAAGTTCTCACACGTCACTCCTTTTATGTACAGGCGCTACTAATAGAAACAATCCGCTTATGTCTCTAACGTATACGGACATGACGCTCAACACTAATGAACAAAAGATGCGGAAACGAATACATGAATGAAATTTTACAGTTTAACAACTGTTTTTCCTGTCGTGAAAGACGAGATGGAAGTTCAAAGTAAAATTATTCATCAGAAAGAAAGACATACAAGGACGTAAGGTATTGTTGAGATAAGCACCGAATCTTGATTAACTCTTTGCTGCTTTAATTACCTTCCTTTATGAGCAGTAGATGAATTTCAATGTTAGTTTGGCGTATCTGAACCTGATGTTAACTTATGAAGGTGTCAAAGTCTGGTGTGAACTTCCTATTCCGCTAAGCCAAAATGATTTAATTTGTTTGTTCCCGTACACGCATCCCTCTTATTATTCCGCCATCGATTATTTCCGGCAAAATACAATTGATTAAAGAAGATGGAGGTAAGCGTAGGCACCATCAACTCACGCCAAACCTGTTCGTCCTTATATATCATTTCTATGCTGAAATCATGATCGCAGTAAAGGATAACGTCGCAAAAACTGCGACCAGTAATATTCAGCTGCCCCGGTATTTGAAAATAATTAATATTAATTTTCAAGGAAACCTGATTGTTTTCGACAGAGTAGCATGACCCTTCTTTAGCGTCACTCATGAAGATGCCTTTTACAGAAGCCCAACATTATATTTCTATAACGCCTTCTGCGTCCACGAGATCATCCGGAGAAGCTGCCAAAAAAGAATGTTTTTGACATACAAAAAGTCCGCACTGCTCAACGTATGTACAAAGTGTAAAAATTAAAAACTGGAGGTCGTAACGTATTTCACCTATATTACAAAGGCATCGTCAAATTGTCAAGTTGACTATTTGGCAACCACTCAAATTACATAACGTGAGAACGTGGTGTGAACTAACTGAGTACTGGTGAGAATACAAAACTCAGT